TTGACCAACGTGTTCAATCTGGCGGATAGCGTGCAGAAAAATATATAGCATGGTCATTGGGCTGGCGACTCCTGCTTCCTGAACTTGGACTCCGCCCACTCCGCGGCGCAGATGAGGATCGGCGCCGACAGCCCTCTAGTTCATCCTGGACACCGCGAGCACCAGCGGGAGGGCTGTCAAGCGGCAGTTGCCAGGCATATCGGAGGGCCCCATGAGCGGGCTGCGTTCGCTCACGTCTTGCGGCGACTCAATGGATAGCAGGTGCCCTGCCTGCGTTGCCGGGCCGCCTGGTATACGCATGGCTGCGCCTCGCCAGGAATCCCGCCAAGCTCGAGGCCCCAAGGGTCCTTTGCCGCGAGAGCCCAGACTGCTTTCAACGGCTGGGTCACGGGCCGCCGGTTCCAAGGGAGGTGACATTGCTGCTTGGACTGTGGTGGAGTGGACAGTATTGAACACTATTCGCGGCGCCCGTACTTCCATCGCCTCTCCTTGCAACGTGTCGGTCTACGCCAACCGGCGCCACAGAATGCCTTGGCGGAGTTCGTCGGGCTGGCCCCTGCCGAGTCCGTGAGCCGCCACATGGCGCCTGACGAGCCAGCCGCATTGAGGGCCTGCGCAGTTGATGCGCTCATGCGCACGCACGGCGCCTCCCACGCAGGCCTCGCGTGCCTTGCGGGTCCCGAAGCTTCTCGTGGCTTCGTTTCTGAAGCGGTGCGCGGTAACCCGCGTTCCGCTGGCATCGTTCAGCGTGCGCTGAAGAGTCCGCGCCAAAGCTAGCATTCTTCCTCTTTTCCTCCTCCTCCTCCTCCTCCTTCTCCTCCTCCTCCTCCTCCTCCTCCTCCTCCTTCCATTCCGAATCCTCGATTTGAGGCCAGGTCTGATTCGTTTCTTTCATTATCCTCCTCCTATTCCTCCCTCCTCCTGTCCCTCCTCCCGCTGTGGCGACCCGCGTTCGCTTGGAATCGGGTTCCGAAGACTTGGCGGGACAGGGCGGACATTCGAACGGTTATTCAATCGTCTTGCTGAATATCCCAGAAGCTGTATACGTAGACCTCTTAGAATGCGTATCTCCCACGCGGCCGGAGTCGAAACTGTGTACAGTGTGTTCCTCATCATGCACAGTGAACTTACAGGCGGTCGGCAAAGACAGTGCAACACGAGCTAAGCATATACTCGTGGCCGTAGAAGGGTCGGTGCACTCGGTTCATGGATTGGCCCGAGCCAGAAGGGAACGCCCCCCGTCCGAACAAGCTTCCAGAGGCCGCTCGCCAGGGAGAGCCGAGATGGCCGCGAGGGCCCTGTCCTTCATGCCCACAACGCGGACCACAAACGAGTCCCAAAACATTCCCCGCGGTGTGGTTCCCAAGCGTTGGCCTACATGGGTGCCTGCCAGCATGCGACTTTCCGCGCGGACGACAGCCACACACAGCCCGTACAATGTTTGATCCGAGATCCCCACCACCGCCGACCCCCAAATTTCCGACGCCGCAGGAGACCTCTTCATGACCGTGCTAACAGAAGTTCCTGCCTCATGGAGGTGAATTGCTTTGTTTGTGACAAGGCGAGCTTAGTACAACCGCTTGTCTCGCTCCCCCACCCTGCGAGGCGAACCATCTCTAGCATCTGAACCGAGGTTGCGTGCTCCCACTAGGCTGTACTCCTCCTTGAGACTCCACCTTGCGGACAGAGTGTATCTGAGCTCCCCAGGCATGGGCAGAATGCCAGTGTTGTCCCAGTTTATAGGCCCTTGACCAACGCCATATGAGGTCAGGAAACGGAAGAGGAGGACGAGGAGGAGGAGGAGGAGGAGGAGGAGGAGAATGAGGAGGTGGAGGAACATGATGACGAAGACTTTCACTGCCATCTCAGGGTCTTCTGGAGGCCCTCTTAGGGTTCTTTTTGGGCTCTCTCGTGGCCCTTCTTGTGGCCCCCTCGGGGCTCTTTCGGATATTTGCGTGGGTCCTCTTGGGGCTCTTTTGGTGGGTCTCCATGAGGCCCTTTTGGAACCCTCTTGGTGGCCTCTTTGGGAGCCCTGGATGGCCTCTTGGGTCATCTTGCAGGGGTTACCGATTTCGGTCCTGTTGGGCGCTCTTGGAGCTGTCTTGGAGGCCTCTTGGGCCCTCTTGGGGCTCTTCTGGGCCATCTTGCGGCCAGAGTGAGGCCTTGAAGCGAAAAGGCGAGAAACCACAACTCATTTGAGTGTCCTTCGGTTTGGGAAGGATTTGGGCCTCCGTGGAGGGCCCCGAGAGCATTTGGAAACATCTTGTGGCTCTCTTGGGCCCGTTCGGAGGTACGTCGGGTGCTATCTTGAACCATCTTCGGCTATCTTGAGTCGTCTTGGAGACCACCAGCATCGGATGCCCTCTTGGAACAATCTTGGGCGCTCTAAACCCTCCGCCTAGAACCCGATACACCTCACGGAGGGGCGGGTGGGGTTGCACGCCTCATTGAAGTGGAAGGAGGGGTTTGGGAAGAGGGCGGAGGAACACCGTCGGACCACCGACGCCCAAAGGGGCTAGTGAGATTTTTGCGGGATCGAGGGTGACCGTTTTCTGATTCATTGGTTTGCCGCCGATCGGCGCAGGCCCTCGCACCCCTCCCAGTGAAGCATATTTTGGCTGTTGTTGGCGCATGTTTCGAGCAGGCGGAGTCTCCCCCATGGGACGCACTGCCGCAAACAGTCGCATTAAGCAGGGTCCCGGAGCCAGACCCCCCTCCCGTAGGCCCAATGTCGAGACGCCGAATCAGAAATCGTCCGCAAGGGCAGCAGAGCGAACTGGTCAGGCCCATCCCTGGGCCTGGGATCGGAGAGCACCGCGCGCTCCTGGCCTAGGCCGGGAGGGCGCACACCACGCTGGCATTGGGCCCCGCAAGTAGCGGCACACAGACGTACAGCTGGCGCCTCCCTCGGCGACTCCAGAGGGTGTGGTTACGCCGGGGTTTGGTGTGCGATCGGCGCCGTGGGTCGGGGGCTCGGGGCGATCGAAATGGGTACGGAAAGAATGGGTACAATGCCCAACAGCAGTTCCTGTTCATTTTGGGCAGGACTCGCTGCCCGCGCCGCCGCGGACGTTGTTCATTGAAGACAGAAGGCCGCCTGCGCAACAGCGGCCGCTGTCGGTTTTGGACAACACTTGTTGTTCGGCATTGTACCTTTTTTTCCGTGCCCATTTCGGGCGTCCAATGGGGCGATCATGGGGGCGAATAGCACAGGGGAGAGCAGTACGTGTATCCAGGGACGCCGATGGCCCATGCCTTCGGCGAGGCTCCAGGGCGAATACGTGTAACGCCCGCCCCTGGGCTATTCGCCCCTATCGTCGCCCCCGAGTGGGGGCCTGGGAGGCACGACGCTGTCCTCGTCGCGCCTCCTCGGGGCGCAGCGGAGAACTTTATCGAGGTCCGCGCCCACCCGCCAGGGTGCCCCCCAGGGTGCCGGTTGCAAACCACACCCCTTGCAAACCACACCTTTCGGAATCGCCGACTCCTGGTGACGCGCTGATCTTCGAGCTCGTTTTTCTGTTCTCCGGCCGTTACAAGGAGGGGCGGGAGGGGGAGGGGGCCAGTAACGTCACGATTCGCGCCGGCGCCGTCTGGGAATTACCTACCCCTAGCCGTTCCCAAACGGCGCCAGCACGAGCCGTGACGTTACCAGGTGGGGGGGAGAGGCGGGGGTGCATTCCCGGTAACGGCCGTTATCGCGAATCGTAAAAAACGCGTTCCTTCGAGCTCGTTTGGACCGCTGCCGACGGCACCATTGTTCTCGCCCTCGGGGGGCCGCTGATGAGAGTCATCCGCAGCCTATCACGTTTACCCGCCCTCCTCTGGTCGAGGGAAATGACACGCTGACCATGACTAATATGTCGCGGGATCTTGTCGACGCCCATCATGGTCATGGTTCATGTTGGCCGCCGCCGAGTCGCGAGCATGATCCACGAATCGACGGTGACCAAGATGGACCGTTACCAATACTGTCAGTCTTGGCGGCCACAGTCACAGTTTTTGTTTCCCTCCGTCCTGCTCCTCTTCCCCTTCCCTTTGCGCCCAGCTTGGGGCCGCTGCGCCAGTGGCCGAAGCCCGTTGGCACGGCGGGCAAGTGTTTCGTTGTTCTGCCCGAGCCGCCCTCGCGCACCGTCACCACCACCAGCCCCAGAACGCCCAGGTGCGCCCAGGTCGGTGGCCTGTGGCAACGTTGCGAGGGACAGTCTCAGTGGGGATGCATCGACCACCTCTCGCCGAGCTACTGGCGAGTGGGGGTCGATCCGTCTCCCTTGGAGCCGGTCTATGGGCGATGTGCCGCCAATTTTTTCGGGTGTTGCTAGAAGTGCCCCTGGCCCAAGGTGCCCCCGGCTTTTCGCTCCATTTTGGAGCCCCTGGGGCCCTCTGGGCCTCGTGAGGGGTGCCCTGGAGGCCGTCTGGGCCACCCCGAGAATCCTCGGGGTACCTTGGGCAAGGTGTACTTCTAGCAACACCCGATTTTTGGTCGCTGTCTCCCCCCTCAGAGCCAGTCCCCCCCCCCGACGTTCCCCTTCATTTACCCGCACACAAATTCAGTACGCATCCATGGTGTGTGGGATGTACGCGCAGCGCTTGTATCTATCACCTCGGTTGTGTTGCGCCGTGCGTCCTGCGTTGCGCCACCCTTCCGCGTCGGCTTCCGCACGCAACTCCCTTGTTCTGTCGTCTTGGTATTTCGCCTTTTTGCTCGGTTGTTGGTAGTCTCTGCCCGCTGACCGCCCTCTCGGGATCTCTCGTCATTTCGGGGCCTCGCCGTTTGGCAGTGTCCGAGCGGAACGCAAACCAGACATGCCTCTCCTGCTCTGTCTATTGCTCTTTCTACTGGTCCTTCTCGTGTTCCTCTATTGCTCCTGCTGTTGCTCCTCCTATTGCTCCTCCTTTTCCAAGACGGTCCCTTGTCCATTCTCGGCGTGTATCGGTGGTCACTGCGGCTGGTATCTCAACACTTTCACCTTGAGTGTCAAGATTTGCTGATTGACCAGGAGCCCCGATCGTCCTGGTTGATGGAGCTTCACGACAGCGAGGTGATCGAACCATTACCGTCCACTGACAGGCATCGGTTTCGGACTAGCTATTCGCTTGTCTTCTAGCGTCCCATCGTTCTGCAATGCATTGAGTTCCACATTTGTGCCTGCTGTGGTGGGGGGCTGGCTGGCTACAGCTATGGGGGTCTGCATGATCAACTTGCTGTTTCGCCAAGGGCCCGCTTCGTTCCCCCCCCAATGCTTGGGGTCATCTTGGAATCACTCTGGCCCCAACGCCTCCACAAGATACCTCCGACCTGCTCAAGTTATATGTGTTTGTATATATTTATACAATATTCACACAACTTTTACATGTATCTATGTGTATATATACACACACATATATATATACACATCGTGGCCTTAAACACACATATCTACACATATATCATATATGTATGTGTGTATATCGGTCCTCGGCACATCCTGCCACCGTGCCTGGCTTGTGGGTCCGAGTCCTCAGGGATGCTTCTTCGGGTCTCTCTGGATCGCTCTCGTGGGCCAATTTGGGAAACAGTTATTTGGCCTCTTGCCTGTTGGGGGCTTCTTCGGGCCTCCTGAGGGCGTCTTGGGGCCGAAGGCTCGAAATTTTTGTTCGGGTTCCCCCTGTGGGCCTCCTCTTGGGGCCGTCCTGGGGCCGTCTTGGGGACTTCTTGCGCCGTCTTGGGGCCTCTTGGGCGGTCTTGGAGCCCTCTTGGGGGCCTCTTGGGCTGTCTTCGATCTTGGGGGCCTCTGGGGCCGTCTTGGACAGTGTGAAAGCCCGAGAGGCAGACAAGCTGACAATGTGAGCCTCTTGCCTTTTGGGGCCGTCCTGGGGCCGTCTTGGGGGCTTCTTGCGCCGTCTTGGGGCCTCTTGGGCGGTCTTAGAGCCCTCTCGGGGGCCTCTTGGGCTGTCTTCGATCTTGGGGGCCTCTGGGGCCGATGGACAATGTGAGCCCGAGAGGACAATTTTTGCATCTTGGGGTCCTCTCGGGGGCCTCTTGGCGCGTCTTCGAGGACTCTTGGGCCGTCCAGGAGCGCTCCTTGACCGTCTTGGGCGCTTGGCGAGGGGCTCCTCGAAGTTCTCCGGGTCGTTTGGAGCGTTGCAACCGTCGCAGAGGCCCGTGCGGAACACCACCCCGGGCGCGCCCGAGAGCGCCCAGAAGCGCTTGGGGAATTGGTAGTCGGGGCCCGCAAGGAGCTACAATCCTGGCTGCAGCAGCAGCACAGCTGTGAGCCTTGGGGAGCTCCGTTTCGTGCCAGAGGCACGGCGACGGAGCCGAGGGGCCCAGCGCAGAGGCCCAGCGCCAGGGGCGTCTGCGCCGAGAGGCCCGGCGTAAAGGCCACAGTCACCATCTGGCAGTTGCGCCTGCGCGCCGGGCTGACGGAAGCCTCGACGGCCGGGTGCATCGCTGATCTTGAATCGATGGTTCGTGGATGTTTTCTTGGTGATAGTTTTTTATTCCCTGTTTGGCCGATCGGCGCGGGCCCTCGCACCCCGCCCCTCCCCTGCCCATGGAGTAGATCTTGGCTGTTTTGGCCGCCTGTTCGGAGTAGGTGGAGTCTCCCCCATGATGGACGCACTGCTGCACACCAGACCCCCCCCTCCCCCCTTGCCGCCTAATGCCGGTGCGGAATGACGTGCTTATGTGTCGGAGGTTGGGGGGTGAGGTCGCAGTGAAACGGAGATCCCCCACCGGGAAATCGAAGCTGCGCGTGATCCTCCTGCAGCTAGGCCGAAGTAGGAGCGAAAGTCCGTTTCCCGTCCGCCGGTGGCCAGGAGGTGTCCCAGTTGGGCCGGACGGTGTCACGGGTGTCCCAGGTGTCAGTAGGAGCGAAAGTCCATTTCCCGTCCGCCAGTGGCCGGGAGGTGTCCCAGTTGGGCCGGGCGGTGTCCCGGGTGTCCCGGGCGTCCCGGCGCTAACGCATGTCGCTAATTTCATAATTCATTTTTTTCGGCGCCTGCGGCGGGCTTTCTTATCCAATCCAGAGCTTATCTTATCCAATACATATTGTCCCATCTTATCTTATCCCACCCAATCCAATCCACCCAACCCAATCCATCAATTCATTTGTTTCTGCGCCTGCGGCGTGCCGATCCAATATATCTTATCTTATCAAATCCATTTCTTTCAATCCAACCCATCTTATCTTGTCCAATCCCTCTTATCCCATCCAATCCAATCCACCTAACCCAATCCATCAATTCATTTTTGTCGGCGCCTGCGGTGGAGGGAGACTCTGATAGAGAGGGAAAGAGAGACAGAGAGAGAGAGGGCGAGAGAGGGAGAGAGAGACAGGGAGAGAGAGAAGGAGAGACAGAGAGAAAGAGAGAGAGATTAGATCAAGGTGACAGGCTGGAGATCAGTCAGGGTGGGCATTTGATCTCAATCCCCCCCCAACCTTCTTATCGCCCGAAGGGCGGTCGTATAGGTACGTGCATCGGAAGCGGGGGGGTGAGATCGCAGTGGAACGGAGACCCCCGACTGGGAAATCGTTTCGTTTCGTTCGCGTCGTGCGTGCGGCCGGGGCGAAGCTGCGTGGGCGCGTGAGAGAAATAAACCCGCCGTTGCTAGGGCGAAGTCAAGACAAATGATTCTCCCCCTGCCTCCCGTCTGGCGGTGGCCCACGGTGTCCCGCGGTGTCCCGTGGTGTCCCGTGGTGTCCCGTGGTGTCCGCCGTTGCTAGGGCGAAGTCGAGACACATGATTCTCCCCCTCCAGCTCGTCCGGCGGTGTCCCGCGGTGTCCCGTGGTGTCCCGTGGTGTGCCGTGGCGACGGCGAAGTCAAGACAAATGATTCTCCCCCGCCCGCCCGTTCGTTCGTCAATCCCGCGGTGGCTCGCGGTGTCCCGCGGTGTCCCGTGGTGTCCCGTGGTGTCCCGTTGAGTGAGATCGATACTGAGATCGAAACTGAGCTCGATTCTGAGATCGATGCGGTGCCCCGAGGTGTCCCGTGGTGTCCCGTGGTGGTATCCCAAAAAATGAGATCGATAGTGAGACCGATAGTGAGATCGACAGGTGTTCCGTGGTGTCCCGTTGAGTGAGATCGATAGTGAGATCGATTGTGAGATCGATGTGGTGCCCCGAGGTGTCCCGTGGTTTCCCGTGGTGTCCCAAAAAGTGAGATCGATAGTGAGATCGACAGGTGTCCCGTGGTGTCCCGTGGTGTCCCGCTGAGTGAGATCGATACTGAGATCGAAACTGAGATCGATGTGGTGCCCCGAGGTGTCCCCATGAGTGTCCCGTTGAGTGAGATCGATTAGTGTGATCGATAGTGAGACCGAACGTGAGATCGAGAGGTGTCCCGCGGTGTCCCGTGGTGGCCCGTGGTGGCCCGTGGTGTGCCGTGGTGTCCCCATGAGTGAGATCGGTAGCGAGATCGATAGTGAGATCGACAAGTGTCCCGTGGTGTCCTGTGGTGTCCCATTGAGTGAGATCGATTAGTCAGATGTCTGTTTCCCCGCCTCTCCCCCCCACACACAACCTCCTTATCACCCGAAGGGTGGTCGTATAGGAATATAGAGTACATGTATAGTGGCCTTCGGCGTATCATCGCGCCAACGTGTCTGTGTTGTGGGCCTGAGTTCTCGAGAATGCTTCTTTGGGTCTCTTCGGAGGCAGTTGTGGGGCCTCTTGGGGACCTCTTTTGGTCTCTTGGGGGCCTCTCGGGGACCTCTTGGGGGCCTCTTGGAGGCCTCCTGGGGCCTCCTGGGGCCCCCCGGGGCCGAGGGCTCGAAATGTCCGTTCGGGTCACCCATTTGGGCTCCCTTGTCAAGCCGTCTTTAGTGCCTATTGGGCCTTCTTGGACGCATCTTGGGTCGTCTTGGGGCCCTCATCGGCTGTTTTGGGGCCCTCTTGGAGGCCTCTTGAGCCATCTTCGGGCGATCTTGGAGGCTTCTAGGGTTGTCTGGGAGCGTCGGGAAGCCGAACAGGCGAGAACGCTAAGAACTTCCAAACACCTAATGGCGATCCATGATTTTGGCCCCTTGGGGGATATATGGGGGGCCAAACGCGTGTGAGGGGTGTGCCGAAATCGGGCGGTGCCGCCATGCAGGCGCTGGCGTTGGCGCCGTTGGTGGAGCTCCCTACGGAGCCACGAAGCGTGCGACAGGTGCGCCAAAGTGGGGCAATGGCGCCGTGCGGGCGCTGCCACTGGGGCGCGGAGCTCCTGTGGGGAACAGCCAATGGCGTTCTAACACCAAGGGCGCCCTCGAGGGTGCGAAGTTATTCGCGCTTCGCGGTTCGGCTCCGATTCCTCTTCCTCCTCCTCTTCTCCCCTGGAAGGCGGCGCGAGAGCGCGACGTTATTCGCACTTCGCGCTTCGCGCAGCGCGAAGCGCGAATTTGGGAGCCCTTGTAACACTTGTGTGCCACATCATTGCAATCCATAGTGGATTTGAAGTTTTCATGTACCGCTCTTGAGAATCCATGGTGAATTCGGACCCTGACGTCGCGGTATGCGTGAGGAGTGCGTCCGATTATTTGAATTATGAAGATGTCCCGACCCAACCAGCCAGTGCACTTGCGGATGACACAATAATCGCCGGTGAGCTCGATTCTTTCGAATAGGTGCGTATTATAACATGTTTGCACGTATTTGTTATATAATTATGTATACACATGTGTTCCCTCTCGATCTCTATGTTGTTAGCATCCTCGCCGTCGCTGTCGGGTTTCCTTTTTGATGAGGCAGCGTCTTGGAAGCAACAGTACACATGCATGACATCATGAGTATGACCAGTGCCAAGTAAACGATGCGCAGACCCCACATGCCCATTCGTTGCAGTGTGTGATTGAAATGTAGCTTGACACACTTGCTAGGCTGCGTCATATCGTATTGCATAACGCGCAGGTCGGAGCCATAGCTCATGCCGTGTTTCTTTCGACTCCTGGTGTTCGCAGGTTGTTGACGCGCTTGAAGGTTGAGACGTTCCTTCCTTGCGCCGATGCTGGGAACTTGCTGTTCACGATCGGCAATTTTATGGAGGACCATTATTGCAGCACCCCCCAGCTCGTCAGTGATGGAGAGTAGCGGGAGCGCACGATGGTGAGGAAAGGGCATCCCATGGAGAGGGAGGCAGGGATTCATTTCCGTGGAAGGGGGGGCGACGAATAATTGTAGAATTGTGCGTTTGATCTGCACGGATGCGTGTTCGCTTCACGCTTCCTCCGTGCAGTCTGACCCAGCGTTCGCGATATCCATCACTTTGTGCACAGCGCTACGCAAGATGAACGCACAGAAGGCTAGTTCTAGGATGACGGAGCGAAAGCAGGTGCACGGTGAAATGCGGACCACGTGCACCTCAGGTGTTGCATCAGGTTGAAGCCGGTGCCGCATGGCGGAGTGCCGTCGAAAGCATGCGAAGCGTATACAAGAATGAGTCGTACCATGTGCAAGCGCACGTCTTTATTTGGAAGGTGTGGGCCAACACGTGGCTACTTACAAGGGGACGCCGAAAAGTTGGATGTCCGTATTGATTGACATTCGAGTTTTGCCAAGGGCACCGATCCATGGAACAACATGCACAAAGTGTGGGTGTGTGCGGTATGGATTATTCTGGGATCTGATTCAGTATTGTCCTCATCTCTCCTCATCCTGTCCTTGCCGTCTTCCTTTTTTCTCCTCCTCGTTTTGATGATGATCCCCTTTCGCAGTAGGGGAGGAGTCCTCTCCATCCTACCATAGTCCATTCCGATCCGATCGGCCCGATTTAAGTTCGATTCTGCCCGACCCGATTCATTTCGATTCCGATATCTCGCCTCGACCGCGTCAGTTCGGATCCTCTGAGAGTCTCTCGGCCATGTCGGCGGCGGCTGCGGCCTTGCTGACGGCGTCGGCTCTCGCTGCGGCCGCGCCAGGCGGGGCCGACTGGGAGCGCAATCAGCGCATCCGCAGGGACGCGACCGCCATGGTGGAGCTGGACGGGGAAGTGATAGAGGATGCCGCGACCGACGATGGGCTGGGCGAGCCTCAGCCAGTGGTACCCCTTCCAGTGCCTGCGCCGCCGCCAGAGCTCGACAGGACCCAGCTGAACCTGGCCCAGTCGATCATAGGCGCGCTGAATAGCACGATGGGCGTACGACTGGAGACAGTGGAGAGCAGTGTGACCGCGCTGCGCCGCACGACGGAGTCCAGCGCGAAGGACATTGCAGCGATGCAGGCGCGCCTGTCCGCACAGGAGGCTCGCTTGTCCGCCCTGGAAACGGGCCGCTCTTCAGCAGGTGCGAGCACCGCGGCGTCGAGAGCAGGTATCGGCGCGCCTGGATGCCAGCCTGATCCATGGGGTCACTAACGCGAAAGTGCCATGACTCCACCAGCTACGGGCGTGAGAGCTCCTCGGGGCGGGAAGAATACGAAGCACGTGGTTGTCGTCGTTGGCGGTTGAGAAACGCTTGCAGACAGAGCTGGCGAAGGAGCAGTCATTGGATCAGCAGGACATCGCCGAGATATATGGATTTGGGCGTTTCTGTGACCAGGCCAAAACAGTGCTCGTGAATACGCAGAAGATGTGGGACCTCATGAGGAGGTTGAAAAGGGTCAGAAGATTCCATGTCCTTGCGCTCGCAATGACCGACTGTGGCACAAAGTGGAGGAAGAACCGCATGAAGTAGAGCTTTCCAGGAGGGTCATCTTCGCGGTGAGGATTTTGCGGGCATGCGAAATTCAGAAAAGGCTTTGCACGGAGGAGACGGAGATGCGCACGTAGGACGCCGACTGGGACAGAGGTCAGACCGTGCACAGGAAGAACAGCACAGAGCGCCGGATCCGAATATTATGCAAGACGCGGGCGACTGACCTCCTGGAAATCGGCGCAGGCCCGCTCGCTCAGGTTCTTTTGGGCCAGGAGCTGAAGGAGATGAAGCTGGGCGAGCGGCTGGGCGAGATCAATGGCACTCCGAAGATGCAGTGATTTCGAGTGCGTGGGCGCCGCGTTGCTAGGGACATCAGGGGCCTCACAGTCCTGGGGTAGAGTGCGAGAGGTGTCCCCGCTCGGCAGTGGCGCCACGCGCTAGAAGTGCTTGCAGATGAGTTCGGTCCACAGATCATCCTTCTACAAGAATGGTGCGTGGCTGGTGGCGCTGAGCAGTCGTGCGGCGGCTATGTTGTGCACGTGTCGCCTCCGCCGGGGGCTTGGCAACGGTGCGCGATAGCGGTGTCAACTCGTTGATGCCTTCCGTCCTCGGTCCGCCTCAGTTCCACGGACGCACCATGGCCCAGACTTACAGTTGTAGCTCTGGGGCCGAGTACGGGCTATTACCAGCCACCACTTTTCGCACATCGCGAGATGTGAGCACGCAGAGACCATGCAGCAGTTACGGGAATGTCTAGTTGCCATGCCTGTTGATTGCCACGCCATTGTCAGTGTCGACGCCCAGCATGGCCTTGGACCAGCTGGTGGTGACACTGTCGGCCCCTTCTCCGCTTCTGAGATGAGCTGGGGAGGCGAGATGCGCCATGCCCTGATGACGGAGTTCGACCTCGTCGCAGCGAACACCGTCACGAAGGCCCACTGGGGACAAGTCATTTGCTTCTTCGACAACAGGAAGGAGCCTCGTCATATCGATTTCATATTGATCCATAGGGACTGTCTGCGACGCGCGCACTGCCAGGCCCGTTTCTCGGACTCCACCGAGACCGACCACGCGCCCCTGCTGCTGCGCTGTCAGGCGGGCCATCCCGCCGCCACGACCGATGGCCCGATCGAGCTGGGGCCGACGGAGGAGCTGGCGCGGCCACCGCGCAAGCCCGTGGCCTGGCAGATCGACAAAGCGACCTCTATAACGAGAGCATCTGCACCTCCCCAGAGATCAGCTACACGCCGCCCGTGCCGCAGATGTACACAGAGGGTGACATGGCGAACGCCGCGGGTATCTTCGCGGGTGGCTCTGCTCGCGGAGGACGCGATCCTGTTGCGCGCCATCGATGCAAGGCTGCTGGCTGGGGCTTCCCGGTGTGCCGCGCAGCTGAGCCCAGCGACCAGGACGCGCCGCTGTTGGAGGCCTGTGGTCAGGTTACCATCGAGCCCCAGGGCCCGCTGTTTCTGGGGGCGACCTGTTTCTCCTCCAGCGCGGGCGAGCTCTCGGCCATCACCGAGACTCGATTCTGGCTGCTGGGACAACGGGGACTTCCTGGCCCTCTGGCGCGCGACCGCACGCGCCTGTTGACAAGCACGGGCTCTACATGCGTCCGCAACTTGCTGCGGGGCCTTTTCCAGCCGAAGGAGAACTTCGAGCTCGCCGCGCTGGCCGCGCACCTGCTGGCGCAGTGCCGGCCCCTCTTCGGCATGGCGATGCGCTGGATCAAGAGCCACAGCGAAAACGTTGGGAACGAGAGGGCCGACGCGCTAGCCAAGGTGGGCACCGACATCCGCTGCGCGGACCGCCACAGGAGGGGGCCTTGCGCCCTGCTGCCGAGTGGGGCGCCGCCGCCTTCAGGGAGACCTGCGAGCAGCGCTGCGCGCCCAGCCGCGCTGCCAAGCAACGCGGGCGGGATGTCATCCAGCGGGGGGACGCGGGTATCATGCTGGGCTCGCACCTGGCACCCCCTCGCACCTCGGCGAGCTGCTCGCGGGAGGGCGTCGCCTCGCTGAGCGTCCTGGCCTCCGCGATCTGCAGCGCGGTCGCCGCGGCAGGCCGCGCCTCGCGCCGAGGCCGTTTGAGACCCCCCGCCGGGGACGAGCAGCTGTCGCAGTTGCAGGCGCTGGAACGTGAGCGCGCCCGCCAGGACGACCCCCGCGTTCGGCGTGCGCTAGGGCATGCGGTCCGCAAGATGAAGCGCCCCTTGCGAGACCGACGCACGGCGGAGCACCCGTGCGATCGAGGGGCGACGGATGCCCCCGTGCCGATGCGACCCGATCCATCGCACCTTCCGGTCATGTACGATCCGATTTGATTTCCCGAATCGGTTTCGTTTTTTAGCGATATGTCAGGAACTCGAGCTGTCCCTGCCTGAAGCATGTGGGCCTAGTCGGTGCCTCGCAGTTCTCAACACCTGCCTGGCGAGCCATTGCCACTGACGCAGCTGCAGTTGTCATTGCCACCTGCGCCGCTCAGACGTGCCCAGCCGAAAGCCCTCCTCTTCCCCTCGCTCCGCACGTCCCCTCCCCAATGCAGGTGAGGGGGTAGTTGAGGCAGCCGCCCGTCCCGAATCCGTTTGAAATCCAGCCCCGGCAAACTACCTGGGTCCATCTTGGCCCGTTTCGCGAGGACTCCCAAGAGGAGTAGAGATGGGGTCGGAGGATCGCGCCGCATTTCCGATGCATCGCCCATGCGGCTCGGTGTGTTGCCCGAGGTTCTCCACGCCCACGGCCCCGATGCATCGGCGATTCGGCGCGATCCTCCCATTGGTCAGGCCTTTTACTGGGAAGGCCTTGCGGTCAGTGTCGCCAACCCAGAAGGGGGACGACGACCGCGACCGCGGCGTCGGCGGTGGGGCAGAGTCCTCAGGGATGCTTCGTGGTCCCTCTTCGGAGCGCGCTTGCAGGCCTCTGTGCGGCAGTTGCGGGGCCTCTTGGGGGCATCTTGGGGGCCTCTTGGGAGACTCCTGGGGGTCCCTTCGGGCTAGGTGGGGGCCTCTTGGGGGCCTCGTGGGGGCCTCTTGGGGCCTCCTGGGAGGTTTCCGGGCCGAGGGTTCAAGATGTTCGTTCGGGTTCCCGTGTGGGCACCCTCTTGGAGCCGTTTTGGTTGCCTTCGGGGCCGTCTGGCAGGCCTTCAGGGCCGTCTTGGGGCCTTCTTGGGACGTTTGGGGCCGTCTTGGAAACCTCTTGGGGGCCTCTTGTGCCGATCCGGGTGGCATTGACGCCGAAAGGGCGAGAACGCCATAATCTGTCAAAAACCAAAAGACAGCCAGTGAAATTTGCCCTTCGCTTTGGCTGGCTCGCTTGAGGAGGATGGCCCAGTAAAAGGGGGGAGCGGCGACGGGCTCAGGGAAAGGGCGGTCAAATGCGACGGCGACGAACACGACATGGACGACGACGACGACGACGACGGCGACGACTACAACAACGACCGCGACGTCCAGTCAAATAGAACAGCGTTCTTCACACGTCGACAAGGTCGGCGGATTTCTTCCTGGCGGATCCGGCCGTGGCGTCGAGAAGCCACCAGAAGAGGCCCATTCATCAAGACGAAAAGCGTCGGTGAGGTGGCGCTATTGTATCTGACCTCCTCCGACTATCCCTCCCGCGCCCCTACTCTAAGATGCGCCTGGCCGATGGTGTCCACAGGATTCTTGAGAGGCCCAGATGGCCTCCAGAGCATGCCTCACAAGCCGAGGCGGGCGTGTATCCATGGCCACCGCCTAGGGGGTCAGCTTCGGGGACACGGTAGGCGGCAGATTGGATACATCATGGCCTTGGGGCGCCAATTATATCCGTATTCATTGTCTGCCGAGTACCCAAAGATCGGTCCCCCAGGCGGTGGCCCTGGATAAATCCTTGCCACGCGCCACGAGGGCGGAAGGAACCCCAACATCGCGCGAAAAGTTGCGGCCGCCAAGGGCCACTACTACTTCTCGCACGGGGCTAGGCCGAGGATAGATCCGTTCCAGAGCGTTCCCGGAACGCCCTGAGCAGGCCGCAGCGAACGAGACATCCTCCAGAGCCGCTGGGTCTCAGAGATTCTCGATGTACATCGGACTCATCCTTATCCTTGCTTCGTCTTACCACGAACCAGGGCCACTTCTTCCAGCAACACCTCCCCCCTGCGGCGCCAGGAGTGGCGCCCGCCGGGGGCCCTCGGCGGCGACGCCCGGGCGGCGCTGCTCGCCGAGGCGCGCGCGCCCGGCCAGAAGCCGTGGCGGCCGGCCGGAGGGAGCCGCCGCCGAGTCTTCTCAGGAGCGAGCGCGTACGTTCTCTGTGGGCTCCCTATCTTCGGGGGCAGCGGTAGGGAGGGATAGGCATTGGGGGGGACGCATCGACCCCGAATCGCCCATTGATCGCCGAGAAGGGGCCGAACAGCCCAAACCTGCACAGGAAGGTGCGGATTCACTATCAGGGTCCTATCGCTGATCTATCGGCGATGTATCGCCGATTCCAGGTCGATGCATCCCCCCCTATGCCAGTCCCCCCCCTATGGTTGCCCCTCATATCTTCCTCGTCATCCTCCCCGTCCTCCCTAGCAGTACCCGCTCTCACGCGCCGATGGGATGATCGGTACGGTCGAAATGGGTACGGAAGTATCGGTACAGGGTCTAGCAGCAGTTCCTGTCCATTTCGAACAGGGCTCGATGTGGGCTTCGCCGCGGGCGTTGCCATTTTGAGGCAGAAGTGCGGCTGTCCAACAGTGGCCGCTGTCGGTTTGGGACAATTGTTGGGCATCGGACCCATGCTTTCCGTACCCATTTTGGGCGTCAAGAGGAATACTCACGCGATGATGCGATGAGATTCGTTTTTTTGCAATATCCTGTGGTGCGTAGCGGCCGTTACCCAGGTCACTCACCTTCCCCAGGTAACAGTAACGATCGTACGTACAACGTTGGCGCCCTCGGATCGACCGAGAGATTGTTTTTGTTTGCCTTCTGGCGCGTAACGGTCGTTACCCGAGCTAACCCCCACTCGGGTAACAGTAACGACCGTACGTCGGGGGGGCTGCACGATAGTGCTTGCGCGCATCATCTGGCGATCGCAGCGCACCCCCGCCCCGACAAGTCCCATCCAACCCAAATGTTTCAAGTACCCCCCCCCCCAGCTAACGACCGTTACTGGAAATACTACAACGGTAGTTTCGATTCGGTGACATTTGGTGTCAAGTCCACAGGTAGTGTAATCCCTGGGGGCCAGCTCACGGACGCACAGCAACGTGCAGTTTTCGCCGCAGCGACCTTACACGTAATGGACCGCCAAGCTTGGAAAGTTGGCTGCGCCAGAGATACAGTCGATCCACCCTATTCTCCCCCTCTGCTAATTATCGAGGGCCCCCAAATGGGGTGGTGACCACACCGTGTGGTGAGTCGGTGGGGATTCGGGGTCACCGCACGGTTTTGGGACTCGGGTCGTTCTCTGAGGACGTCTCGGGCGACTGGGGCATCCGAGGTCCCAAAACCGTGACCACCGCACGTTCTGTCACCGCACCGTTTCGGGACCCCAAACATTAGGGGGTCATGCTGTGTTGGCCAGCCACGCATGCCACCCAGCGAAGTCGAGGCGGTCAGTTCATCAAGCATGCCCTTCGCCTGGAATTTCTTACCTTACTCCTCTCCCTCCTCGTCCGTCGCCATTTTGGGTCAAGCTGTCCTGCGCCCGAACGTCGGGCATTGCACCTGCGAACTTGATGACAGCAGTGCGTGTGCGGGTGTCCTTCCAAGACAGTTCCTCTCGCTCCGCAGGCCTTGGCTCGCGCCATGGGTAGACATGGCTTGCAGCAGACATGGCCGGCACGTTCCTTTCCCTCCTCCCCCCCGTTTCGCCTGCTTGCGCCGTGAGTTTTGCCCTCGGCTCCCGTTGCCCCCTCTGCGCCCGCCGCGGCCTGCTGGGGTCTCGCTCTGCGGCAGGCCGCTCGTCGGTGAGAGAGCAGGGTAGAAGCACCATGGTTGGTCGGGCATCTGCTCCAGTAGCTACCCCCTCGGCCCCCGCCGCGGCCTGCTGGGGTCTTACTCTGCTGCAGGTCGCCCGCCGATCAGAGGGCGGCGTGGAAGCACAGCGGCGGCCAGCGCCGTGGCAGGCGCGCTTGGGCGCTTGCGCCGCGCGCAGAGCTGCCCGCAGCAGGGCCGCGCTGCAACCGACGGGCGTCCTCTCGGCCTCGAGGCGGGAGGGCGTGGCAACAGCGGGCTCCCGCGGCGCGACGCCCGCGGCTGCAAGAAGAGCTTGGGCAGACCGGCTCGCGCGCAAGCACTGTGGGGTGTGCTGGGGTGGCGCAGGTGTCGATGATCCTCAGGACATGTCTTCGCCGAACGTGTGCTTACCCCGGTCCGGCCCTCGTGACATCGGCTGCGTCGTCTTGAAGGGCTTCTGTGGATTAGCACACGTTGGCGCTAGCAGCTGACACGCAGGATCATCGAAGCTACCGTGGGGGCGCACCCCTCAGAGCAATACGAGCTGAGAAAGGCGAGTTCAGACAAAGGTAGTTGGCCTTCGTGGCCGACCCTTCTGGGAAGGCCCAGGGGCTCGGCGAGGGCTCGAGACTGCCTCGCTGGGCGCCTCTGCTGTCCGAAGGGCCGCGCGCAGGCGACAGCTGGCGGCAGCGGAGGCCGCCGTTCCGAGGCGGGGCTGCCCCAGCTCGTGGCAGGACCGACAGGCGGCTGAACGGCCAGCGCTGATGCTTGCGGCGAGCGGCCGACGCGCTCCACGCGGCGCGCATCCCCGCGGGGGGCTTTGCCGTTGACTCGGCCGCCGACCTGGCCTGGGCGGCGGCCGGGCCGCGCCTTGGCGAGGACTTCGGGCTCATGCTGCACGTGGCGGAGCTGGAGGCTCGGCTTCTGGACGCTGTAGGCGCCGACACCGAGGTGCGGGTGGACGCGCCTCGCCTCTCTCTCCCCGCGGCGCTGGAGGAGGAAGGCCAAGAGGCGTACGACGACGACTACGACTTCGACGGCACGGATGTGTCGGCTGGCTCGCGTTGGTATGCCCTTGGCGACTGGCGGCTTCGCGACTTCGAGTCGGAGGCCATCGCCTTCAACGTCGGGCTGGAGGCGGGCTGGCGGCTTGCGGTGGTCCAGACCGAGCGCGTGGATTCCGTGCAGAAGCAGGGCGATGGCCCCGTGGGCTGCGACATCGACGTGAGCGGGGACGTGGTGTGCGACGGCCCCGTGTGCGGCGACATCATTGTGAGCGGGGGCGCGGTCGAGGCCCAGAGCGGCGTGGAGAGCCGCGGCCCGGTGTGCGCAGAGGTCCCCACTGCTTGCGTCGGCACGGTGGGTCCCACAGCTGGCGCCGACAAGCACATCGACGTGAGCGGGGACGTGCGCAGCGACTACACGCCGCAGCTCGGCGACGCCATGGCGGTGGCTGCCGAAGAGCAGGTGGACGCAGGCGACGTGAGTTCGGAGGACTTTGAGCTCGCGTGCCCAGACGGCTACAAGATCGCCTTGCGCCGACGACCGCCTTTCACCTTCGAGTGCGAGTGGTGCCACCGCGCGCACCCCCGTCGCTCCCCCACCCAGTGGTGCGCTGCCTGCCAGTACACGGTGTGGGAGGAGTGCTTCGGGTGAGCGCGCTGAGTCGGGTATGATCGGCGGGTGCCCCGCGCTGCGTGGCCCGCCCGTGCCACGACCACGGCCGTCTGTCTCGCCCCCTTGTGGTGCGGACGGCGGCCGCGGGCCAACCACCTCCGCGGCGGCTCCGCGGACAGACGTTTGGGGCCCTGGAAGTCGTCCGCTTGCGGACGGCGACCAGGGTCTCTTTGATGATGGCCCCTCAACCCATCCTCCTCCAGAGCTGCCGTTGTCTCAAATCTCCAGATATCAGATTCCTGTCATTGGGGTGTTTCGGGTTTCTCCGCCCTGCGCGTTGCGGTGTCTTTCACGGGCGTTGCGGAACTGCTGCGTTTTGGGTGCTCTGGGTTTATCCCAGTTCCACGCCCCGCGCGCGGGCTTTCCTGGCTGGGTTTCTTGAGAGGGTTTCTCGCGGCTGTGTCCGCTCTGGTATTGAGGGCCGCGATCCCCAGCATCAGCGAAGCACCTCCTCTTTCCAGTGTGTGGCTTGCCCTTCGTGGCCCAGGCGATGCAGGTATTGGCCGCCAGCTCCGTCGCCCTCGCCGCTGCGGAGCGTGGGGCCGCGCGCGGGCCCGTGCAAGAAGCAGAGGATGTATGTTTTGTTTTTCTTATAGCGCGTATCGGTCGTGACCCGGGCCCCCCTCAGGTAATGGTAGCGATCGTGCGTAAGGGGGGGGGGGGGCCGGACCCCCGCCCCCAAATGCTGGTGTTCGCGCGCACATTCTGGCGATCGCAGCGCACCCCGGCCCCGACGTGCCCCTCCCCGCCCAAGCGTTACCGCCCCCCCCCCTCGCGGGCAACGACCATTACCAGAAATGTAAACATTCTATCGTTCCCGGTGCGTGGCCTGCCCTTGGTGGCCTAGGCAGCGCAGGCCTCGACGCCGCCGGCGCCGTCGCCCTCGCCCTCGCCGCCGTGGAGCCTCGGGCCGCGCGCGGGCCCGTGCCAGCAACCGAGAACGGAACCTTTGCTTCCCAGTGCGCGGCCCGCATTTCGTGACCTTGGCGGCGCAGGTCTTGATGGCGCCAGCGTCGTCGCCTTCGCCGCCGCAAAAGGAGCCTCGGGCCCGCGCGCGGGCCCGCGCAGGGTTGGGCACAAGTCCGCGTCAGAGCGGGTCGAGAAGTCGGCCACGCGCAGAGGGGCGACGAGGAGGACGAGGAGGAGAAGGACGACGAGGAAGACAAGGATGACGAGGTCAAGAGGTCAAGATGACGATACGTTCAACAGTTTCCAAGGTTTGTCGGCCACGCGCAGAGGGGGTAGAGAGTGTTTTTGCACTCTCGGCAATGACGCGCGTTACGCCCCCTAGCCTCTCCCCCCCTTTCCCCCTCCCATGACGTAGCGCTCTCCCCCATCACTGCGTCCCCGGCACCGCCGCCACCACATTCCAGGGGGGGGTGCTACTTCATGCCCCCTCCCGTCCCCCCCTCCCCCCATAAGGCTCGTCATGGCTGCGGATGAAAAAAAGTGGTGGTAGGGGGAGTGGGGAAGGCTTCTTACCTAGGCCCCCCCAAAAAGATCCGAGTGGATGGGGTCGGAGGATCGCGCCGCATCGCCGATGCATCGCTGGTGCGGCTCGATGTGGGGCCCGATTTTCTCCATTGGAGTCGCCGATGCGGCGCGATCTTCCGACCCCATCTACTCCGACCCCATTCGGGAGGCCCCTAATTTGGAAACACCTCTGCTTCTTAGAAGGCGCGGGCCTTGTCTGTAGATGTAAGGCCATTGCCCCCTAAGAAGCGACCTCCTCCTAAGAATCCTTGCCCCCTCCCCCTACCCCCCCCCCCCTGCGCGCCGCCAAAGAAGGTCCACTGTTTCTCTCTCTCTCTCTCTCCCATTGCTTTGCCGTCCCATGTCTTCGATTCGGGGCTGCAGGTTTCTCTTCCCCCCTCCTCGTCCTCGTCCTCCCCTCGCCGCCCCCCCGCGTCCCCGTTTTTGCTTCTCTCGCCTGCTCCTGCCGATTCTCTCTTCGCCATCCTGCTTCCCCCTCCCTCGTCGGAGTGCTTCCACCACGCCGCGTCTTCTGCGTCCTCTCGCCTTCTTATTTCCTCTCTCCGTCTCCTTCATCCCTCTTGATGGGCCGACTTTCCACCACTGTCGTAGGTAGGAGAGGGAGTAGTGGGAGGAGTGGAGGAGAAGAAGGATGAGGACCTCCCCATCCTCCCTTCTCCCCCGCCCTAACTGTGGCCCATCACCTCTTCCCTCGTCCTCGAGTCGGAGGCCCTGGGCCAGGAGAGGGGAGGAGTGGCGCGCGGGGTGGGCCTTTCAGGAAGAGCCGGCCTCCTCCTTCCCGCGTAGCCGCCTTCGCCCTCTCTTCCGATGCTCGCCTGCGATTTGGGTCGAGCTCTTCTAGGACTGCGGCATCCCTCCTTGTTTCCTTTTCTTCCTCTGAGGCGAGACTGGCTGGCGAGCTCCGAGGCCTCCTGGGTACTGATTCACCCCCGCGGCCTGCGGGCGGCAGCCCCTGGTCCAGGCCTCTGCCCTTCTCTTTCGTCCCCCCCCCCTCCTTCCGCAACGCAATCATCCTGTAGCCGCAACGCAATCATCCCCTTCCCTGTGCCACACTCGTGGGCCTGCGGCTGCACGGCGGCGGTGTGGTGCGCTGTGCGTGGGGGGGTGTGCTGTGTGGGCTCTGACCGCAGGGTGGCGGCTGTGTGGGCGCTGTTTCGGGCGCGCGTTTTTCGGACTTCGGGCAACTGGAGCCTCTAGAGCCCCTAAACGGTCCGGTGAGGCCTTTTGGGACTTTCGAGGTCATCGCATTGTTTGTCGCCGCACCGTACTGGGACCCGCTGGTTTCGCTTTGTGGTCGCTCGGTTGGCGCCGTGTTTGGTGGTTCTGCATGTCTTCAACCTTTGGCATGAGATTCTACACGGCCGACAGACCTCCCGGCCACCGCCGCCTTCGTCAGTTTCGAATCTGTTTTGGCGCTCCATGGGCTATCCTGCAGCTGTCATGGAGCGTCCTTAGGGGCAAAATGCGCGACAGACAGACCACGTCTAGAACCGTTTGGTTCTTTAGCGTTTGTTGTTTTCTGAACTTTCCCACAGTCCCTATGGCAAGTTCCTAAGGATCCCTTTGGGCTGTTCCGGGGACTCCTTGTGACCATCCTGTGTATTTTTGTGCACCTCGGGCTCTGATTCCCCGCCAGACAGGCTGCGGACCGCCCGCCAGCCTTGCAAACCCCGGCCGCAGTGGCCTAGTAGTCCCGATGGTTCTTCAGTCTCGCGCCTCTTTTTGCCAGCCCTGCATACCGCGGCCGCCCGACCACAATAGTTCTGATGGCCTCTGAGTCTTACACTTTGCTGGGCCCCGACCCTAAAAGCGATGAATCATTCCACGTCTAATCAGATGACAGGCGTCACGACTTCACGCAGTCCATGCACCAATAGCATTCGTTTAAGACCCACGTCAACAACATTCAATACAAGCAGACACCGCGATACTACAACACAAACGTACATCAATGTCCGCCACTCGCATACAACAAATACATAGACCAGTCCCACGCACCAGTGTCGCAAGTAAATCACACGCACACATACCGGGATCATTAACATACTCCGTGTTCAATCATTACACATTCCAAGACCATATACAAAGCATGCACTGACAACGTCATCAATTGATCCTTGGCGCATCACGCACACATCATTCACAAGCTGCGAACCAACCACCTCTAGGGGACACCATTGGGATGCACGTCAGGACCATACCCCCCCACACACACACACACACACACACACACACACACACACACACACACACACACACACACACACACACACACACACACACACACACACACACACACACAGAGAGAGAGAGAGAGAGACAACGTGCATCAATGACAGGTACCTGTATCGTACACCGCGGTCAGACACAAACTTCATTCATCAAGGCCGGGGTGCGCGGTGCACTCACCATGCAGCAATGAGCAGCAGCGTTACACATGCACATGCGACGGACACGACCGTTCATAAGTGACAGGGGTACAGCTCCCTGGTGGGGATCGCCCCAATGAGGATTACATGCTTCCATGGGAAGAGCGTTTTCGCCAGAGGGTTGGAATAGCGGTGACAAGAAAGTTCACAGAAGATTCCCACGGGGGTGACGGGGAGGAGCCCTAGACCGCCGGGTCCGGCAGCCGTTCCGCCTGGGTACAGCTTCGGACAGCACTTCCTTGTTCATCCTGAACCTGATTCGCTGTCGGCGTCGCCGCGGTCGTTGTCCATTTGGGACACGAGCTCGCCTGCCCAACAGCCGCCGCTGTCGGTTTTGGACAACAAGTGTTCTTAAGCATCGTACCCATTTTTTCCTCACCAATTCTGGGCGTCCAAATCAAGAACCAGTCAGGAAAGACCGCCATGGGGGGATTTGGTCATGAGGGAAACGGGTCCTACGGTTTTTCGCTGTTTTGGGCTTGCCAGGGCCCTCCACGGGACTCCACGGGCCCCGGGATTTCAGAAACCGACCTAGGATGAAGAAGTCGCCCTGGGGGAAGGCCCCAGGGTCCAGGATCTGCTTTCCTCAGGACCCGCTTCCCCCATGCAAAAAAAACAGTATCGAGTCATGACTCGGAAGCCAAGGGTGTATTTTAGGGGGGGCTTAATTCGGCTCTGTCAGGGTGGATGAATGGAGCCCCAATCGCCCATTCATCGCTGATAAGGGCTCTCATAGCCTGCCCCGCCCAGGAACGCGTGGTTTGGCCATCGGGGGCCCATTGCCGCTTTCTTGTCGATGTATTGCCGATTCCCGCTCGATGTTTTTCGCTTTGAGCCGGTCCCCCCTATCCTTGACCTGCAGGGAGGAGGAGCAGGAGGAGGAAGAGGAGGAGGAAGAGTAGGAGGAGGAGGAGGTGGATGAAAGGAGGAGGGAACGGAAGAGTTCACCTGCCGAGACAGGACGATCATACTCCATGTGCAGAGCCACCGAGCGTGGCGGCGTGAAACATGTACAGTCCACCCGCCGAGACGGGAAGACCCTACTGCATGTACAGAGTCCAGGTGGCCCGGGTCGTGTCGACGCGGCGGCGACCCCAGCGCGGGCATTCAACGTTGAATGCCGCCAGTGGTCCCGGATTGGCAGATGGAGGATGGTTTGCGATTCCGGGCAGCCGCGATCGAGGTTGCATGATCCAGTGAGTGTCAGAAACCAGCGCCGAAGCCGTCACGTCACGAAGTTTCTGGACCCAGATGATGTCCCTTTGCTAATTTGCTCTTGCGATAGTGTAGGTCTTCCTTTACTCCATGACTCCCCAACGGGGTCTGAGTAGATGGTGTCGGATGGATCGCGCCGCATTGCCGATGCATCGCCGATGCGTGCATTTGTGCGAGATTTGTGCCTATATCCACTGCAGCTTGGAGTTTCTGGGCTCCCTTCCCCAGAGTCCCGTGGCGTCCCCTCCCAGAAAGTCCAAGACGCAGTGGACATGGATATAATATTGCGCGCAGTGGAGGCCGATTTTCGCAACGCCGACGTCCCCGATGCATCGCCCATGCATCGGCGATGCGGTGCGATCTCCGACCCCATGTACCCGGAGACTTTCTAGGATGGCGGCCAGCGCCCCCAGGTTGCCGAGCTGGAGCAGTCGGGCAGGCTGTCCCGCCGCCGGGCCGGCACCTCCGCGGCGGCGAAGGAGCGCGACGACAGGATCTGTTGGCTGGAGGCCCGCTGGGCGGCTGGCCGCACTCGAAGAACCAACGATGACACAAGTGTAAAAACTCGGAGCTCCGCGCATATTTCTCCAGGGAGCACAACGCTGCTCAGCTTAGGTTTGTCCCATGGTTTGGTTATCGTTTCCTTTTTCGCTGTTGTTCCGTTGTGTGTTTCATGTGTGTTTGAATCGCATGTTTTTCTGTTCAAACGCTTTTTGGTGGCGTTCGTTTCGTTGTTCATTTCGTTTTGCTGCGATTTCCAGGTGTGGTTATGTGATCTGTTCAGGTTGATCCGTTCACTGCGCATTTCGTTCCGTTGTCCGTTCTGTTTCGCGCCGTCGTTATTTTGTGATGCTTGTGATCGCGCTGAATAGCAATGCAATTTCAGTATTGATGCTTTGTTTCGTGTGTTTTGTTGTTGATGTTGTTGTTCATTGCTCGGCTCTGACCTTAGCCGTGTTTTCGTCCCTGTCTTTAGCCATAACAGCTGTTGGGCCATCGTGCCGTTTTTTCCCAACCATCTTGTGGTGTTGGGTCCTCGTTTTGAAGAGACGGTCCCCGCGTTCCTTTCCTCTCCTCCTCCTCCTCCTTTTCCTTCTCCTCCCTCCTTGTCTTCGTCGCATCTGCCCTCCGCATGTCTTTGTTCTCAACCATCCTGTGGTGTTGGGTCCTCGTTTTGATGAGATAGCGCCCCGCGTCACTCCTCCTCCTCCTCCGCCTCCTCCTCCCGCTGCACCCGTTCCTCCTCCTCTCATCATCATCATCATCATCATCATCATCATCATCATCATCATCATCATCATCATCATCATCATCGTCATCGTCATCGTCATCGTCATCATCATCACCACCATCACATCATCATCACCATCACCACCATTATCATCATCATCAGCATCAGCATCAGCATCAGCATCAGCATCATCATCATCACCACCATCATCATCATCATCATCATCATCACCACCATCATCATCATCATCATCATCATCATCATCATCATCATCATCATCATCATCATCATCATCATCATGATGATGATCATCATCATCATCGTCATGGTCATGGTCATGGTCATCGTCATGGTCATGGTCATGGTCATCGTCATGGTCATGGTCATCATCGTCATCATCGTCATCACTCGTTTCGGCACACCCCTCACACACTTCGTGGCCCCATAGGGAGCTCCATCGACGGCCCCAGTGGCAATCCGTAGCCATTTTGGCTCAAGCTGCCTCGCCCCCCGCGCGCGTTCGCGCGGTGCCCGTGCAATGATGGCTACGGGGGGCCGCCCGTCCTCGTGGAGGCCCACTTCGACTCGCGCGTCGGACACCGCTGCTGTCGGCGCCTCTGCGGCGAGGCGACTCGCCCGCCACAGGCGCCGTGATGCCTGTGAGGCGTGGCTGCGGTCGAACGCGGGGGCCGCCCTGCCTGGCTCCTGGCAGGACCGGGAGCAGGCCGCGCGGCCCGCGCTGGTCGCAGCAACCGCCCAAAGGCGCGTCCCTGGCAGGGCGCGCCAGCGGCGCGACACTTCCCTCCACGCGCGGCGCGTGCCTCCTCGCCGGTTCTGCCGCGCCTTGGAGGCCGAGCTGGCGTGGGCGGCGGCCGGGGGGCGCCTCGGGCAGCAGGACCGCGGTACCGCTCCCGCTGTCCCGAGGCCGGCGCCGCCGCTGCTGCATTTGGATGCCCCATCCTTCGTTCTTGTGCAAGGGTTGCCCTGGACATGCGCATGCGGTGCCGCGATCTTCTCGCCCCCCGCGGTGGTGGAGTACGCGGCGGACGTCGTGCAGCCCCAGGTCGTGGAGTTCCAGCAGCCCTCGTCCGAGGAGTCGCCGCGCGCGTCTCCAACTCTTTCTCCGCTCTCTCCGCTGTCTCCGCCATCTTCGCCTTCGTTGGTGGGTGGTGAAGAGGTCCTGAAGAGCGAGGTGGAGGAGGACGTTCCTGGCCCGCCGTCGCTGCACGGCGAGGCGGGCCTCCAGGGCTCGGGCGAGGCCAGCGTCTCTTCGCTGCTCACGGCGCAGCCCGTTGAGTGCGAGGCGGCGCCGCCTACGGCTGCATGCGCCCTGGAGGCGGGGGAGGGCTCTGCCAGCCGCCGATCCGTCGGCGACGGCTCGGCTGGCGTTTCAGCGCTCTTGCATTCTCTCGGGGCGGCCCCGATCGGCGCCAGTTCATCGCCTCCGCCACGTCTGGCTGAGCGGCCGCTGCGCCGCCGCGAGACGAGGGGGAGGAGCTGGGCGCGTCTCTTGGTGCCCCCGCTCCGCGAAGCACGTCTCGATGAAGCGCGCCGCCCCGAGAAACTTCGCGCCGGCGACGCGGCCCGCCTCCTTTTTGAAACACGCTCCCGTAACATTGCATTCCGACATTGAAGCGCGCTTCCGCGAGGTATGCTTGGATAACGAATTGCGCCTCCTAGAAGCGCACTTCCGCGAAACGCGCCTCGGCGACGAAGCGCGCCTCGATGATGAGCGACCGCGTCGGCGCAGCGCGCCGCCATGACGCGCGCCTCCGCGAACGCCTCCCTGAATGAACGGCGAAGACTTCCGTGAGTGGTGCACTCCAGAAGCAGCATTGGCCCGAGCACCGCTATGAAGATGTGCCCGAACCCCCTGAGGATGAGCCCCCCCCGCGAGCACTGCGGGCATCCTTGTGAAGGTGAAGAGTTGTGGACTCCGCGAACAGCCCGCGAGTGCGAGGCACCCAACGTCTCAGCATTCCCACGGAACTCTCACGGCGAGGCACGCCGCGACGAGGCACGCCACGACGAAACATTCAACGATTAGGCACTCAACGACGCACTCCCCGATGAAGCGCTGCTCGACGAAGTGTCCACAATAAGCTACACCCCGAGGAAACACAACAATAATTACCCCAGTGCGACCCGACCTAGAAGTTGGAGCCCCTTGGAAAGCAGCATTAGTTGCTATGCCATGCCATGATATGCTATGCTATGCTATGCTGCGCTACGCTATGATATGCTATGTTATGCTATTCTTTGCTGTGTCATGCTGCGCTGTGATGTGATAAACTATGCTATGATGCTATGCTATGCTATGCTGCGCTGTGCTACGATCTGCTATGATATGCGATGCTGTGCTATGCTATGCTGCGCGGTGCTATGCAGTGCTGTGCTGCGTATGTTGCGCTAGGCTGTGCTATGCTGGACTTTGCTCTGATATGTTGTGCTGTGCTGTGCTACGCTCTGCTGTGCTGTGCTCTGTGCTCTGTGCTCTGCTGTGCTAAAGCTCGGCGAAGCTAAGATGAAGGTAAGCTAAGCTAAGATAGTAAATAAGCTCCTCTCCGCCTCAAACTAAACTTTGGACATAACTTTGTGTGCATGCATCGCACTGTCCGCTGGAACTAACAGCTGCGTTCCGCAGCTGCATGATTGCTCGAACGAGCCAACCTTGGCTTGAAGGGAGAAGAGGAGCGCGCCAGCCTTCGGCCGTCTTGCGTCGTCGGTCGTAGGCCAGCCGGCCTCCTCCCTTCACATTCCTGCGAGAGTAGTCTTGCTTAGCGGATTCTTTTCTTATCAATGTCTCGTCCCGTCTCCTCTCTCCCTGAGCAGAGTGAACATGAGATCTTAATTCCTTTGTCATCTTACCCCGATTCTCAGAGGGAAGACTGGTTATCAGCCGAAACGCGCGACTCAGTCGACGGGGGGCCGTCCCATCCAAAAGAAGAGCTTTCATATGTGCCCCGCGACTCAGTCGCTGCGGGAACGAGCTATGATAAGACTGACGTCGAGTCCAATATTTCGAGAAGTGCCGATGGGCGCGTTGTGCAACATGACGGACACGACGCAATCAAGGGCGGTCCAATTCAGGACCGAGCCCCTCCTTCATACATCGCCACTCGGGTAGTAAGGGGCAGAGGTGCCGAGGGAGTAACAGAGATGTCGGTAGACGTCTCTCCCGCGGGAGCTCCAATCGGTGATCGCGAGCACCCCAGACCCGTACGGGCGAAATGGCGTAACATCAAGAACTAGACGAAGTGCGTTTTCGTCATGGAGTGCCAAACCGACGGAGTCGATCAGCCCACTTCCGAACGCTTCGCATGCTATTGCGACTGCCGCTGGCGAAGCCGGCCAGCCAGGGGAAGCCCAACAGGACGTGAATACGCACCCTCGTATCCCGACCGAATGGGTGGGCACGAGTACCAAGGTTCCAATCCCAATAGCGCTTAACGGACAATTTGGTCAGGGCAGTGATGACCCAATTGAAAAAGATCATGAAATATATTCTATGGAGGAAGATTTGATAGCATCAATAATGATATTTCTCTGAGCCGAGCATTGTCCGTGATGATGGAAGAAGATATCCCTGCTCAAGACGAAAGATGGTCTCCAGATGGGTCCGATGAAGACACTAGTATCCTGACGCCTCAGGCGGACAGGGCGGAGGCCCAGACGAAACATGAGAGGGGGGTCCACAGGGCGAACCCCTGCGCCTCACCTCAAGAAACAACGGGATGAGGACTACGAGCTAAACGTCTCGCCACTGAAGGAAGGTTTCTTCCGTAATGCCGCCGCCTCAGGTGACTGGCAACCCTCGATTCCAGCTGTTGTTGACGGTGGAGAAATGGTCGGACAACCAGCTACGCATGCTCAGCTAATAACACATGACGAAAAGGATGAGGAGTTTTCAAATGCGCCCAAACCACCAGAAAATATTTTCGTTCGCCCCGGATCAAATGCTTCAAGCAGGGGAAGGCCCAAGATGCCAAGATCAGGGGCGAGATCCACTTCAAGGAACAACAGTACCGTCTCCATGATGGAGGCTCGTTGGAACCCCAACCCCTCTTTGCGCGCCTCAGGCGGAGAGCAGATGCCCAGGAAAAGCCAGCAGGCCAGAAGGCGCATGTAGGAATCCAGTGTGCAAGAGTTGCTCGGACGTTTGCCATAAGTGTGACATGCAGTGGCTGTGCACAGAGCGTTGCCCAATGGGCGAGCATAACTGCACGTATCTCCTCATGCAATCTACTCAGGACCAGGCCAGGCTGGCGGAGGCTAACA